AAAGTTTTACTCTTCTCTGGAATCCATCGATCTGATTGATTATTAGCGGAGCAAATGATCAAATACTACGGAGGGAAGATATTTTCGTTTGGATTACTGCACTCACAGGAAACACCGGCTGTTGTTATGCCTGTTGTGACGTTAAATTACTCCGTTCTCCGCTTGTAATTATGCCGTTACTAAGCTTCAAACCTGCATTTATCATCTGAATTTGCCAAAACAAGTTTAATATTCTGAAAGCCAAGACTTTGTTTATTTGAAATCAGATGAAAACAAACTGTAACGGACCCTGCCATGTTATCTATGACTATGATTACTATATGCCTTACATTCATAATTTCAGCGGGAGGGAGGGGGAGCGGCGCTGTGGAAGATCAGAGTGGCCAGTGAGAGGCGAGCTGTGGTCTTCCCTTTACAAGCTTAAAAAATGCGTGTAGCTACTGAGATTGAAACAATAAAAAATAACAAAATATACACAGCTAGATCAGATTGTAGAAAGCAGGTAGAGTATTGAGAAACCTCTATTGAAACCACGAGAAGTAGGGAAATGAGTTTTAAGAGCAATGGGACGTCCTTTCTTCCGGAGCGTCACATGAAGCGACGTCCGTTCTTGATGACGCCGCACAGCTGATCGTCTGACAGCAGCCAGCTCTGTCCCCGTTATTTTCACAAACACCCCCGCCACACATTTACCGACACAAACATTTGTATCATCTGTTGTAGACCCCAATAAATAAAATAAAATAAGAACTCAGTCTCAAAAAAGATAAACGTCATTCTTAAAATGTATAAACGAAAAGCGATCATGAAAATGTTTCCAATAAATGAATAAAATGATTTTTGACCACTTTGTTGTTCAGATATATCACATATTTGTAACTAAATGATACATTAATTGAAACAAAACACAGTATAGACTGAGGAGCGACTCTCGTGAGTTTCATGTATTTTCTTCACACCGCTGGGAAACTGCTCTCAAGAAGCATCAGATCAGTGCATGCACTGCATCTTCCAATCAGTGAGCGATACACAGTAAGGGGGCGGGGCGAGTATCTGTGGATTTAATCGGAGGATGGTCTGGTGATTCCTCGGTTTTCGCTCCTCCATTATCGCTCCTCGATCCTCGATCCTCGTTCCTCCGGCAGAAATAAGAGCCATGGGACGCTACTCAAGATGGCACAGACAAATCACCTTCCGGTGATACCGAGGAGTGAGGAGCGAGGAAATGAAAATAATCGACCTGAGAAGGACCCGACGAGTCGAGGAGTCGAGGAGGGGAAATTAGAGTATTGAGAAGCCTCTTCTGTCTTCTTCCTGTTCATTACTCTCTCTGTCCTATACGCTTTCTCTTTGTTCAATCTCTCCGTCGTTGTTAACTTTTTGCTCCTCCTCACTTGTCTCTCCTGCAAGTGAATTAAAAGCAATTCAGCCATTTAGTTCATTTCACTTGTTTGTTTGCATTTTTTTTTATTTAAGTCTGTTTTGTTTGATTCTCAAAAGAGATACAATTGTATGTTATTATGACATCATAACTGCAATATAGATGTATGTTGTTTTAAATTATGCCGATTGTCTATATTGTAAATGAAAACTATTGTTATAGTCCGTCCCCTCGATCGGTACCGGGACCCCGATCGTCCGGCCCGTAGGTGGCTCTCCTCAGGTCTTAGGTGCGCGTCCGATTCTAAAAGTGATTTGGACCCGAAGTAGGTTATCGGTAGACCACGACGCTGAGTCGGTCTCGTCCCGTAGGCAGAGCGGCACGACGTTGAGGTCGCGACGGGGGAGGTGAATAGTCTGCGTCGGTGCGTTTCTTTTCGCTTTTTGCCTCCATTAAGGTTGCGAGTTTTTCCTAACGCCACCCGGGGCTCGGCACACCACCAGACGACAGACAGCTCGCACTTCTCGTTCGTCGTCGCAGGTTACGTCGCCCGTGACTTGTCCATTATGGAAATGAAAGTTCCAGGATTTTACATATTGTTTGTCTTGAGAAGGGGCTACTGTGCAGTTCTTTGTGTTCCTTGAGGTGTTCTAGATTGTCTTTTGTGTTTGGGATTTACGTTGTCCGCCATTAGTTTGTTTTGCGCCTAACTCCCCTGCCGCGCCTCTTGTTAGCGCGCCGGTGGTCCCACTGTGTTAGCCCGATAGTGTCCCTCCTTTGTCTGTCTCTCGTGTCCTGTCCCCCTCTGCCCGCCAAATGCTTTTATTTTGTCCTTTGGGGGCGGAGTGCGCATTTCTGTCTTTCCTGTCTAGTTTGGTGTGTGCTGTCTACACTGTAATATCCGGCCGAGCCGGTCATGAACCTAATTTAACGCATTATTTTCGATCGATCTCTCGATTGGGATTCAATAGATGTAATGTAGGTTACAGTCTTACTAATGGAAGAATTGTTTGCGAACATGTACGAAAAGAAAGTAAAGTTAACTCATTTGTAACCTTCTGATGATTGTAAAATAACAAAGAAAAGATGTGACTGGAGTCTATATTACTTTCTGATGCGAGTTCAGCTTCAGTCAGAAACCGATTTCCTCCTGGTCTTGTCCCGGTCTTTCTTTCTCCTCTGCCCTCTTTTCACTACCTTCAGTGCCTCCTTGACGTTCCATGTTCAGAATACGAGATGAGNGTCCTCGCTACCGTGGTGTCCGTGTGGAGGGAAGAAAAACTAGCAACAGGTATGTTACTAGTTTGAAGAAAAAAATCAAACCTTACCGTAATTTCGAAAGAAAGAAACGGCGAGGCAGATTACAATATTAACTGGTGTGTTAATATTGTTCAGTCTTCTTGCAAAGCAAAAAAGTAACCGGCAAGCGCCCGTCGACCGAATGTTAGCTTTGGGTTCAGTCTGTGGACCGTTAAGCTAGCCCGGCTACTGATAATTCGAGATGTGCTCTGAAGCGAGAAGAGGTGTTTGAATGACGCTGCGTCGTAGCGCAAGCTACTTATAGGGTGGGTGGATTCCCTGACGTAGACGTCAAGACCACCAGCCAATCAGGATCGGCGTAATGAGATTGATGCTTCTGTTTGCATACGCGTTGAGGCGCATCCCATAGTGAGACATCGAACGGAGTGTTATGAATGAGAACTTGCATGATATGTTCAATAGAAAAACAAACGCAATTGGTCATCCTCTTCCTAATTAGAAAATCTACAAAATGAAAATTTCCAATGTTAAACACTGTTTTATTTTGGTTGCAGTAATGTTGTGAATCTTCAGTTAAAAGATAAGGAATTCTTGTTTTGTAAACATGTTTCCAAAGTATTGAATTTATCTTTCCAGAATGAAAAGACACTATATGGGAAAACAATAGAATATTTGCTCTGTACATTTTTCAGTTTTTATGGATAATTTGATCATTGGTGTTAAACTGTGATCCGTCTCATATCTTTTGATGAGAAAGCCATTTCTATGGCTCTAGACTTCTTCCAGTGTCCTTCATCCCCTGTATGGGAAAATCTGAGGCCTAATTCCTTTATTTTTCAGGCAACTAAACTGTCTAATGATGATGATTATTTTTTTCAATAAACTAGTGGGGGCTGATGTTGATGGTTTTATCGATGACATACTTTAGGCTAACTGCTTTCACTTGATATATTCATGTCATTTTTTTGTGCCTCTGTTCTATGTTTTACCTGGCTGCAAGACAATTTCCCTTAAAAATAAGAAAGTTGAAGTTGACAACACTTAAGGCAAACTCATGAAAGTAACACGTTTATGTAACTTGTAACAACAGTAACTCTAAATATGAAGCTCTCACACACAAAAAGACTCCCACTCAGCACTGTGTCCTTGTCTCTACACATAGAGTGAATCTTAGTAACTATGGCCTCAGAGAATATAGCAGACAGAAAGCTCAAGATAGCACGATTCAAGGTGTTTATCATCAGTCAGAGGGGGTGAGTCAAGCGGGGAAACCAACATCTGCGGGGCCAGACTAAATGGGAACAGTTATGCAAACACACACACACACACACAGGATAAAATGGAGCAGCAATGGTAGCTGCACACTGTGAAACATCAAAGGTAGGAATCTGGCAGCATGGCCGGGAGCCATTACGTTGCCCCTCACCTCTCCATGAGAGAATCAATCAGCATTCATTTGCAAGTACTGCTAAGTCACATACTAACATATGCTAATCACACGCACTAAACACTTTCCCACACTGCAGATGGAAAGTTTCATCGTTAAGAGGATGAAGTCTTTATTACAGCTTAGGTCTTTGGGCCTGAAACATTATTTAGGTCATTGCTCTTCCTTTGACACGCACAAGCAACATTGATGGATTCATGTACTCTGTATTCTCAACACATCATTCAATATGGATTTGAAAGAATGAAGGATTGATGGTGTAATGTAATCACTAGCATCTAGCATATGCATATGGTCAGCATATGTATGAATAAATTAATTTATTTGCAGCTACGGTTGGGTTTATGTGCTCTGCAAGAGCTACTATGTGCAATTACCAAGCTGACGGAATTAATCACAGGTGTGGAGTGTTTTTATATCATTTTAAAGTACATGACATACATATTTTGATTTCACTGCATCATGATAAAATGCAATTGAGAACACCATCTGTTGCTGTTTGCAGCGGTGTGAGTATTTGTGTAGTGCATGCAATCATGCCCACGCATATGCACACATTTCACATGTGCGCATCAAAGAACCCAATTAGTTGAGTGAGACCAAACAGCGACAGACACTGCATGCTAATGGAGAGTTAGCCAAAGTAATTTGAAGAAGTGGAAATTGACAGAAGAATGAAGGATTGATTTCTGTTTATTTTCCACCTGACAGGGTTCTGGCTCTCAATCAGGCAGGATTCAGTTCAGCTGTTAACAACACAGGAATGGAGCTTGTGCTGAGACACTCGGGTGCCTCAAGTGCATGCCTGTCTACCCCTGCTGAGCAGAGGGTTGCAGAGGCAGTGACCAGAAGAACAGGGAAACAGGTAGGGTGAAGTTACAAATAAAAGGCTGCCAGGGCTGATTTGCTCACCTTGACACGCGGGAACCGGCGAGTCCCAGGCATAGAAGTCATAGGGGGTCTTCTTGCACACAGCTGTTCCCTTTCCGATCAGCTTGTAGCCCCTGTCGCAGGCCCAGCGCACCATGCTGTTCAGGTGACCTCCGGTCTGGCTCACGACAAATCCGTGTTGTGGGGAGTCTGGGGTACTGCAGTACATCGCTACAATGGATGGAGGAATAAAGGAACACGGGAGAGGAGCGGGATGAATATCGAGGAAAGGGAGAGGACAGAGGCAACAACAGAAGGTGAGAATACAGTCACAGAAAAGGGAATAGAGAACAGATAAACAGATATTACTAGAGAAAAAGAGAGATTAAGCAGAGGAAAGGAAACGATTAGAGGCTTTAACAAAGCTCCTCTAGAGAAAAACTCAGGTGAACATTTTAGTCACAGCGAGGCTCCATTTTAAATTCAGAAAGATAATAAGGGAAGATGCCTGAGGACTGTCACATCTATTTAGCACTCAGGCTGTGTGCCAAAGGAAGTCCTCAAAATCACATTATTACTATTCCTCTCGTGGCCTATGGGCACGCACATATTCAATTTGATTTAACACAAGCAATACTCATGCATCCTCTAGTTATTTGTTCCAAAGCCTTACTTTCCCCTCATCTTACAGCCCATCGAACACAAAAAAGGTACATTTGATTTCCAGAATATGAGCACCGAATAGCCGATGGGACAGAAAAACCAAGGCAGGGATGTGTGCTTCACAAATGCCATCAAACATTTCTTCAAATCAGGATGACTGGAAGAAAGCAGGGATTTCAGTAGAAAAGACACACACAGGGGTTTAAGTCAGTTCCTGTTCAAGTCAATCAAGTCAAGGAGGAGTTTTCTTTACAAAATTCATCACACCGACTTACTTTCACAGTAACACTCTAGTGTATTAAATATAATGGAGAGGCACAACATAAAAAAATCATGTCTTTTATGCTTTTTTCATTATCATTGATGCATTTCAAATGGAAGAAGATCCCCTTTGCTGCTCTTGCATAGTACCGCTTGCTTTATTAAAGAACCAATTAAGAATTTACCAACCTTTTTAAGTTAGGGAGTGCATAACAACATGGAAGTCTTGCAGTGATTTATTTTTCCTGCCTCATGTTGCTCTTATAGTGAGCCATTTGAAATGTTTGTGGAAATTCAAAGTAGTTTTGTCAATTTATTAATTTTTAAATCTAAAAAAAGAAGATCATTCATAGCATAATGTGATAAAAATATCATGGGGTCACATTGTATCCTCAGTAAAATGCAGTAGCTGCAGCAGAGAAGCTTCGATTAATATATATTCCCTATTTATTGTTATCACTCGTTCAATTGAAGCATCTCCAGAGAGTGTTGACAATATAAATGCCTTAAAAACCCATGACTTTTATCACTTCTCTCTAGTTAAGAGATAAAGTATATTGAAATAGCACTAGTAAAAGTATGATTATAAGCTGGATACATACTTTGATACTCACCCACGTATCTGATGTGGAAGCCACGTCTGTTGGTGCCGTGGTCAGAGGACCAGCGCAGCAGGAGCTGGTGGCCGGCGGTAGTCAGGCTGAAGGGCGTCTCAATGTCACCGCTGAGGGATGCCAGGCTCTGCCCGTAGATGTTGGGACCTGAACACAGACAGACGGACAGACACAAACATAATGTACCAGAATAACAAGCATTAATGTAGACCGACGCAAACATGCATCTTCATTTGTTTCCTAGTTAAATAGCACTAAGTGCAGGTGTGTGGTGAGAACACCAGAGCATATAGTATTTAACATTTCCAAATGCCTTATCATGGCATCAAACACATAGTTGCATTTATTTAAAATGTAATTAGAGGACTTGTATGAAATCTGCTTTTTAACTCATTCTAGTAATCTGAGCAACGAGCAGATTTGATAAATTGCGACCAGGGAACAGTCTGAGGATCCAATAGCCGCTTTCAGACCAAGTACTTTGCAGTACTTAGTTCCCAGCACTTAGTACCCCCATGGAACTAAGTACAGATCGCGTTCACAGCGGAATAAATTCCCTGAGGGAAGATTACGCAAATGAAGCCGCTGACGTCACTTCTTCTTCTTCTGGTTTGGGTTTACTGGCAGGCCGCAAACAACTTCACGGCGTATACTGCCACCCGAAGTCCCCGGCCGGAAGTCCCCGGAGTTGGGGAGTAAATCGCCAGAACGCCGACACCTCTTCATCACTCCACCGCTCCAAGGCTGCCAAGGCCTTTTCTTTTTTGTGTTGCCATAAATTATTCTTTCTCCGTTGGTGCGCGGGGCTAATGCTAATAATGCTAATGCCAGTAAATACAATGGCGGCTTCAAAAAACTTTTGAAAACGTTTTACGGGCCGTGGTTTGCAATTCGCCCAGCCAATAAACAATTGGAAAAAAATGTTCTCCCCAGGAGAGTACCACCTCTCTGGAACTACAAAGGGGGTACAAGTTCTCATGAACGAAGTTCTCTTTTTCGTGTGAACGCAAAATCCCAGGAACTATCGGAACTAAACGGGAAAAGCACGGGGAAAAGTACTCCGGCATGAAAGCGCCTATTGCCTTCATCAAAGGCCCCTCAGCAGTGCCAAGGAGGCAATGTGGCCCCTCTCAAAGCATCAGTCAACACTGCATTTAATCTGTTGGGACAGGCGACCCTCCGTTCCTCAGCCAAATCCCTACAGACTGAGCTACTGCCACCCCTTAACACACTAGAACCCAAAATCAGCTCTAAAATAAGATGCTGAAACAGTGGTTAAAAAATGTTTTTCCCACTGAGAACCACTACCATTTTAACACTAGACCAAACACATACATTATTTAGCTTGAGTCAAATTGTTTGTATCCTGCTTAGTACATTTTTCACACCAACATTCCAGCAGCACCCACCATCAAATATTTCCAAGATGTCAAACTCCTTCTCTGTCTGGAAGAGCTCAAAGTGAAGAGTCATGTTGTAACCCTTTTCCACGTTGATCAGCCAGGAGCACATCTGGAGATTGGGGTAGTTGTCAGGGTAGCCTGGACTCAAGATCACCCCCGTTGAGTCAAAACGCACCTCATGGGCTGGACATTGGACTGGAAGAACAGAAACAGTATAAGGGCATGCAGCGATACAGGGAGAACAGGGGGAAAAGAAAAGAGAAGAAGGGAGAGGGAGATGAAAACCTAGTGGAGGCAGAAAACTGAATAAACAGAGGTAAAGGGAAGAGATTGGAAGGTACAATTAAAGATGAGGCAAGATGATTTGAAGAAAGAAAATACAGGAATGCTCCACTGTGACAGTGGTAATCACATTGGAAAAATAACTAGTCCTGGAAACAATTACATTCCAGCCACACTGATATTGCACCTAAGGGCTGAGCTGGTGAGACTGCTCCTGTCACCAGGCTCCCCTGATATCAATCCATCAAATTATAAAACTGAATAAGTGATACAGCTATCTTTTTTTGGAAAAATGGTGTGTGTAAGGCGTATGTGTGTGTGAGTAGATGTGAATCAGCTCACAGCATTCCCTTAATTTCTTTTAGGCTGGCATGCTGGAAAATGACAGTTCTGTTTCCTTCTTTGCCTTTTGTGCTGTTAACACAAGTTTCTCTTCAGTGTCACTAGTGAAGAAAAATGACGCATATAAAAGGTTAATGTGAACAAGTGCTCCAAATAAAAAGGTCACTGGGAACAGTTGGACATATATCAAGAAAAAAAGGCAGAGTAGGAAAAAAATTAACACAAAGCAATATGAATATTCCTCTGGGGAGTTGCTGCAGTTTCAACTAGCACAGATTTTGGCTCAGAGATAACAGGCAGATATGATCTCCGAAAAGTCAAAGTCAGAAAGGTTCTAAATAAAAATACATTTCTTAAAGCACACAGTACAGCAATCATCCTCTGCGGGAACTGAGGTCAACAAAGCGTCTCATTACAATAAATCAACAACAAAGTTGAATACTTGAATCAAAGAAAAAGAAAAGACAAAAGCATAAAAGGATTTGTTCATGGAAGAATCAATATTTATAGAAACACTTTTCATGAGGGAGGAAACAAATCTCCAGTCGATCTGCTCAGAAAATAAATTAATATAGCAATTTGTTACGAATAGCAGTATTTATTTGCTACCATTGCTTGGCAGTTTGTGATAGATGTGATCAATATTTTTCAGTACATACTTGAGTGAAGTCTTTCCTGATCAGACACTTCTGGTTTTTACATCTCTCAAAAAAGTATTAACTTGTATTTATTTCCAATCCCACTTCTTTATATAGTGGGCTCTAATGAGCATATACGGAAGAAAAGGTAAACCAAAGCTGACCTACAGTATAAGGGCTAAAGGTAAAGAGCAATGTGCAGGGTGCATTTCTTAATGAGTTTACACTTCTGATGAAAGGATAATTTCAATATTTATTCATTAAGGGAAAAAAAAGGAATTTTGGATAATGACACCTCAAAGCTTTTTGAGAATGGTGTTAGTGTGTCAGTTCAGTGATCAGTATGTCATTTTCAACCAGTTTCAGGTTTATTTTTTTCAGTTTCCTAAACTGTAAATTATTTACAAACACTGCTTTCTAAAGTTCACACTTTCCCAAATATAGTCTGAACTGTATTTTGTACGTAGTTGAGAGCCTTGATTTTGCATGTGAGATTTAAGTATGTCTAAAGTTGAATGTTAGAGACTTGTGAGTCTCACTGACCATACGATGGAGTTCATAACGGGGTGGGTCTTCTGTCTGTGCTGTTAATTCACGCCGCTGCTTCCTCAGTTCTCTCCTCAGCAGGAGCCTCTACTTATACTGATGGCAGTAAGAATATTTTCATAAAGCTGACACAAATTCAACTTAAAATAAATGTGTGAAAAAGTAGTTACTTAAATTACTGATTTCATTCTTTACAACTTAAATACATATATTAGCACTGGGGTTGCCAGCTTTGTACACTGAACACAATCCCATTCCCTGGGGTGCTTTACCATTTTGGATTGATTTAAGATGCAGATTAAATCTATATCTGGCAAAAGTTTGTTATTGAAATAATTGAGCCCTATAGTTTAAAGAGCCTGTGACACGAACCCAACAACTGTTGTGCAATGAAATAGTGGGCTACTAGTAATCTCGAACCGTCAGTTTAAAAAAGAAAAAGCGATACCGTTCCGATAAATATCAATAATTTCGAACATCGCGGGAAAATTCCTTCGACTCATTTTGAGGTTTTGGGGGAAGCCGGAAGTGACGTCAATGCGGGAACGCTTCACTGTGCGGCGAGAGAGCCAAACACGGACAAAGTGTGTTGTCATGCGTAGAAATGGTGAATTACTGAGTTTAGGCACGTTAATAACGTTTTAATGAAGTTGACTACAGTATATTCATATCAACATAAACATAAATGATCGTGGTGAAGATGATGATTAAATTAGGATTAAAAATCGGTAGTGAGAGCTGCTGAATTTCCTCCCGTCGGATGTGATATAAAAACAAATCGATTATTTTTGTAGTTGTAAACTCAAGTGGATGAAACTACATTTATTAGTGCTTTCATGTCAATTCGGCGAACATATGATACATTAAATGATCGTGAGGATGATGATTTAAAAATCTTTTGTTTGAGCCGGTCTGCATTTCCTGATGAGAAAACAAACCGATGCTTTTTGTAGTTGTAGTACACCAACATGGAT